AAATAAAACTCAATTCCCAAAATCCAGCCTGTAGGTTGAAAACATCTCAGGTAAAGTATGCAACTTTATACCTCCTTGAAAAAACTGATTGTTTTGTAGTTGTGGTAAGACAGCTCCCCTGACAGATTTCATGCCATAAAGATGGTGGGAATTACCTTTCCAGTGCCTTTCACTATTACTGTGTCTCCCTGTGTTTATTTAGCCCTCATTATTTCTTCTAAAATGTATTGTTAATTTGTGATATTAATTCTTACTAACATTTGAAAATTACTGTTTTTTCCCTAAAAGTTATAGTTTATTATTATTTTTTTACTCTGTAATAATAAAAGGTATATGAATAATTCCTGTATTGGAGGACCTGCTGATTAAAATAAGCAATAGCTACTACGCCAAAAGAACATTAAGCAGAATTTAAGGCTACTCAATTTCTAGAAAACTGTTATGATTACAAGCAAAACAAATGTCAAAAACATATAAACATATCTAAACTCCTAAATATGAATTTGTACATGTCTGACTAAGCTTTCAGCTGTGTTGTGGTCAGATGCACTATTCTGGCTGGACAATTTTCCCTCCCATGCCTGTTATTTTTTAAAATCTTTTTCTCTTGATTAAGTCAAGATACTGACCTTACCATTACTTTGATGTATATTTACATATAATTCCATTCTTTCTTGCTTAGGGCTGTAATGTGTTTTGAGACATAGTCCTGCATACTAAAAAGTGTATCAGAACAGCATCTACTCCCTCTTCCCGTTCAGCTTTGCCTGCCTGCCTGTCTAAGAAGCAAAATGCTCCTCAAGTTCTTCGTGCTTGGAAATGTTGTCCTGTTTAGGGTCTTTTTGCTTCCTTTATTTTACCTAATAATCTTTCTCTTCTGCCCACGTTTTTCCCTGAAATAGTTTATTTGATTCTATTTGTTTTCCAGAACACCTGTGTTTAGGTAGTGACTCATGAGCCTGGATTCCCTGACGCAGGTAGCTAGTTTGGTGGACGTGTTCATGCTGTTTTACATCAGCAGAGAATTTTTCCCACGTGTTGATTCAAGATGGCTGTTTTGAAGAGAGCGGCGCTTGTAACGTTTAAAGCACTTTTTCTTTTATTGAGTTTGTGCTGCAGTTTGAACAATGTCAACTCCCAACTCATGCCTTCTCTGGAAGAGTTTTAATAAGTGTTTTGTGATTTGCTTTTTTTTTTTTTCCTCCACTCTGTTTCCTCTTGTCACAAGTTATGATACCTTTAATGGTCATTAGTACTGAAATAGTGTATTAGTTACAGTAAACCTGCTTGATGAGAGCTGAGTTATACTAATTATATCTAACAGCCATATTTTTATATTTGTTTTGTAATTCATTTATTCTATTTTTACCTTGGGGATTAGAAACTAAAAATATGTTCAGCTGTACAGATTGTTCTAATTGCTCAGGAGCATTTCATTGTTCCTATAAGAGCTTGCTGTGAGAGCAGCTCTAAACTGACAGAAGAACAAATTTTTGGCAGAACAGAAGTCTTCCCAGATCAGAAGAATCCAGATCAGAAGAGCATCTTTCCCAAATAGACTCTGTTGGGGGAAAAAAAAAAAAAAAAAAAAAAAAAAGGCCCTTTTGAGAATTAGAGGTTTGAAAGTTACAATCAGAAAAGTAGCTACCAAAGCTCTGAAGAAGCTGATTTATTTAAAAATAAAAATCCCAGGACATCAGTAAGCTGACCATTGAAAGGGTTTGTCTGATCTTGCTAAATATACCTATGATTTCCACCCATAATACTGTATTTCGGGGTTGTGATCTGTATCCCGGTGCTAACAGGCTTACCAGTAATGGTATCTGAGTGTTTGCTGGAGCAAGAGCTTTGAGTTCATCCCAATAGTTTAAGACAATAGGGACCTACAAGGAGAATGGGACCCAGGTATTTTAAAGTATTTAGGAAGGCTTTTGTTCAGCAGCAAAGAACCTAGTCATTTTGCCAAAATGACTTAGAGGTATAGGTTCTTGAATTTCAGTGGTTAAGAAATAGATGTTGTTGGTGCAAATGAAATCTGAGAAGTTTATTGATGTTAGAGCTTCTAATACAAGTCCTGTAAGGTTTGAAAATGTATATTATAAATAACTCTCTTTCCAGGCACAGTATATGTTTTTCCTACAGCAGTAAAATGTGAGCAGATGTACTTGGCTGTTATAGCCCAAACTTGTTAAAAAATGTTATCCAAAACCTAAATTTGTGAATTATTCTGGTGTGAATTTAGGCTAGTGGATCACATTGTTTTCCCTATCCTGCAGCAAATACCTTGTGTGCCACAGTTCATATTATTGGGTTAAAACTGGCTTCTATTTGCAGAGCAATTAAACATTGTGATACTTATTAACAGTATGGGAGTGTAAAGCAAGAAAGTTAGGCTTTTGGGTTGAGTACAGGACTGGGAACTGGAAGGTTAAGTCCTGTTCTTGACTGAAGAAAGTTAGGCTTTTGGGTTGAATACAGGACTGGAAGGTTAAGTCCTGTTCTTGACTCTACCTCCAAGCCTTCCTGTATGACCTGGAGTAAATTATTTAGTCACCTGGAGGCTTTATTTTTTGCACCTATAAGCAGGAGAAAAGTAGGTTCTGCAGATACTCACTGATTAGGACTTGTTCGTGTCAAGGATGTTGTCATGGTGGTTTGGGATGCTGAAAAAGGTACGAGGTAAAACACATTGCTGTGTTCTCCCTTTTCCAGCTTCAAAAGCACAATTGAGAGGAGCATCTTAAAAGTCACTGTATCCTTGCACTGTATCTTTATCTTTTGATATCTTTGTCATCAGATGTAAACACAATCTTTTTTTCCCCCTTTGGCTCTTATTTCTTACTCCTCAGAAAAAAATCTCAGTATCATGAGAGTTGACCGGTCTACATGCTTCTGCTCATTGCTAATTTACTGCATTTTATAAAAGCGAAGAATAATTAAGTAGGTAGAGGAAATGGGCAGTAAAAGAGATGTCCAAAAGCTTTTGGACAATTCATGAAACAGTTGGTGCCTTTTAATGATAGGGTGCTCCCTCTGCTCATGAATGATTCATTTTCATGCTTTTGTTAGCATGGCGACAGTGTTCAGTCTGGGAGGCTGTTCCGTGGTAGCCTTCCTCTGCTGCAACGCTGCATGACAGCAGCTATCATTTGTTTTAGGAACTGAGTCAATAACATACTGAGGGAATGTGTTTTCCTGATGAAGAAAATGAGAAAAGGCAAAGATTAAAAATATTACAGCTGAGAAGGTCTCCTTTACTGAATGTTTCTGTTCCAGTTTGTTTACGTTTTTGGGAACCCCTTAGGGCAATCATTTAAAATATTTTTATTGATTCTCGTGTTTAGCATTAAACACAAATCGCCTCTCTAAAAATGACACATCAGTGTCTTTGCTCTGTGTAGTGTTGTGTAATGAAAGGCAGTTTGAAAACAATCATTATACATAAATATACTAAGTTTTTCTAAAAACTAATGTTTAACGGTCTCTTTGAAACAGTTTTTAGGATGAGACATAACATAACCGCAGAACCCACACAGAAAATGTATCTGAGTCATGTGCATACAGAAATAAAAGTTTCTTTGTGGTATCTGGTATCAGTCTTTCATTAAAGCATGGACTTTCCTAAACAGAAATTCCAGTGCAAATGGTTAAGGGCTCTCTTCCCCTCCTCCTCCTCCCTTACGCTCTTCTTACGCTGGCTTAAGTCAGCGAGACTAGCAGGGTGCATTAGGGACGGTCCCTGCGCGGAGCGGGGAATTCAGGGCTGGGAACTACGTGGTACTGGTTTGAATGGACAGAAGCATGTGCTCAAGCACAGAGCTGTCTCTGTGTAATGCGCTTTTAAAAAGCGGTGTTTTCTCTTAAGCCATATACGCACTCCTAAAATGCCTTCAAGCCATAGATAAGTGTATGTGTATGAGTGTGTGTGGCGGGCGGGGGGCGGAAACAGTGAGCAGATAGACGAACGATTAGGTCATTTGGATTAGGAATGAGGGTTTTTTACACGGAAACACTGCTTGCTCCTTTCTGATCAGATTCTCTATGTACGCGCAAAGTGCGTAAAGTGAAGAAAAACTCCATAGATGGATATGGTTGCAGAGCCATAAGGAGTGTTGAACAAGAGAAAAGCTTGAATTGAAAGTATATGTGGTTTAGGAGAATGTGAATCATGCAGTATTACTTTCACTTTTTCTAGGCGTCTATTTCCTATGAGCAAACCATCAGGGAGATAGAAGTTCTGATTTAGATAATGTCTTGCAGTCTTTGGAATAGCACATTCTGTTGCAGGGGGAGTCCTTTCTATAAAGGTCATGCTCCATAAGCAGAGAAGTTTCCCGCTGCCTCCCGTCGCATTCTTTTCTGCTGCAAATGTCAACTTTGGGCCTTTTCCTGGGGATTTTTTGCATATTTAGGTGGATGCACCGCGTAAAATGGAAGCGCCGCTGGGCACCCCTCCTTTCCTTTTTCCTGCAGCTTTGCTCCGACCGCTCTCTGCGAGCATGGTAGTGGTACAAAGTGTGTGGTCTTTCAGCTCTGACTAATGCGTTTTGTGCTGTGTGACTGAAAATGCCTCACAGTCTGCCAGGGCTGACTGAGGGCTGTGGAATGCGGTGCCTTTTCTCTGCTTCCCCCCGACTTCCCCCTCCCCTGCTGGCCGCAGCAGAAGTGTGTAGGCAGCCTGTGGAGAAACCTCGGGATGCAGGGGAAGTGCTCGCATGCACTGGAATGCGCCTTCCCCTGGGAGAGCCCAGCCGGGCAGGCGGTGAATGAGCAAAGCCCAAGAATGAAGCACGGACGAGGCTGGAAGGAAACGGCGGGAGAGATAGGGAAGAGGGAGAGAGGAAGAAGGTGGGAACAGAGGGGCCCATTTCCCTTTTTTCTGAAGCAGTGACAGCTGGTTCTGTCCTGGCTCGCATGACGAAGTGTTGCGGAGCGTAGTAGTGAAGCTTGGGGCCAGCTAGCAGGGATGGTCAGCTGATTTGTTCTCTTCTTCTTTCCAGGCTTTAGTCAGGTGGTCAGTGATGACTAATCAGCCCACCAAGAAGGTGCTTCAATGTCCAGGTAAGAGGGCAGCTATATATTATTGCATGCTTTTTTTTTTGGGGTTGTGAGGGAAGAACACTATTTGAATCATTAAAAAAAAAAAATTCTTTGGCGTTTAACACTGTGACGGTCTCTTTTAATGCTACTACTTTCGCTAGTCAGTCCTGCTTGTTGTTTTTTTTTTTTCTCCTCTCTAAATCTGTCTTTAATTATAATTTGTACAAAAGTTTTATTGGGGGAAAAAAAACCTATTATGTGCTGCTAAATATAGTCCTGGATATTGTATGAATGTTGTATTCTGTTACTTCGAATAAAACAACTTTCCATATGCAAGTGTGTCAAACACATATTTAGAGGGGAATTCCCAAATACTTAATCTGTGACTCATATTAAAAAAAAAAAAAGAAAAGAAAAGAAAAATTAAAGAACCAGTGCAACAGTTTAGGATTAAAAAACTCTACTCTCTTTTGGGTAGTGTATGCGTTGGTAGCTCCATAGACCTTTTTTTAAAAAACAGCAATGTGCACAAGCTGAAGCAATTAAAACTCTACTGACCAGAACCCCCTGTGCACTTAGTGGTGGCCAAACAGATGATGAGAGAGGGAAGCTTCTTAGAATGCGCTCAGTTTCACATCGGATTTCTTTCGTTGCTGGTGTCCTAGCACTTCGTGAAAGAGTCTTCTTGTGCTTTGAGGGTGCTTCAGAGGGCTCTGCCTCTAATTCTGTTTTATGGAGTCTTAGAAAAAAAATGGATCCATGTAAATAAATGAACATATTTGAAATAAAAATACCTAGAGGATGTGACAGATGAAAGTGGTTGCCAGCTGGTTGTCTGCCTGGCTATTGTGCCATACTCTGCTCACTTTAAATATAGCGATGTAATATGTTCTTCATTACTACTACTTCTCTGCCTTATTAAAAGATCTCAGAGACTCCCTGAGATCTCAGATGACTTGTGTTCAAGGATGCATTCAGGAGGCTTTTAGATTAAAAAGTTGTGTCCCTGGCTGCCACCTGTAGCTCAGAAACTACAGAGCAAGGTCTACAAATAGAGAAGAGTTTATTTTGCTGATCTGAACTTCAGTATTTTACTGATAACCTTATTCCTGTCTGCTATTCTGCAATATTCAAAAAAAAACCACACATTTGAGATAATTTTTCTCTTGTCAGCCTATGCAGTATCTCATAAGCTGCTGGTGCTGTATGCCGGGGGATAAAGATGGATGCTCTTTTGATTACTTTATATGTCATGGTGTTGCTCTTTTCTCATTGTTAAAAAACACTTCTACATTGTTAAAATTGTGTCTCCTCGGGCAAGCTGGCTGTGGGCTATTAGCGTCGTCTTGTAGCAACGGCTGGGTGTTTAGATGCTCAGAAAACTGCGGCTTTATCTGGAGGAAGGAAACCTTAGAATTGCAAAGTGGGATGGATGATAGTCTGTTGGCGCGGATCTCAGGGAACTGTATCTCCCGCGAGGAGATGCCCAGTCTCAAGCTGCAGAACAGAAGGATGACTGCAAGGGAACTAGGAAGATTCAGACAGGTTGACAGTGGTAGCGGTGTCGGCTGTGAAGCTAGGTCTCGGTGTGGGAAACACTCGTATGTTTCAAAGGGTCTTTGGCAAACCCAGCAGCAGCAGGTAATGCAGGCGAGGAAGGGAACGGTCTGTGGCAGAGCAACTGTGGTTTCTTGTAGGGTGCCCATGAGTGAAGTAGTGCTTCACTAGGAGAACTGCAGGGCCGTAGGGTTCTGGAGCTGCCAGGTTCCAGGTTGGGAAGTGCCCCAAGTTTGTATAATAAGCAGCTGTGCATTGGCTGTATCTTAAGCAAGCAGATCTTTTTTGAACGTGTGCGGGTTTTTGTATGGGCTGTGCTGTCATCTGTAGGGGAATTCCTGGCAGGAGGGCTTCTCCCTGGCTGCTTGCTGCAGAGATGCTCTCGGTGCCTGTGTGTCGTGTGCGGATCTGTGTGCGCTGGTGCAACAACAGGAGAGAAGAATGGGCGTTGCAAAGCTGGAATAAGTAAATATTAAACTCTTTTGGAGAGTAACTATTTCTTTTCATCATTTTGTTGCCTCATAAATTGGGTTGTTTGTTTTTTTCTAATCTATGCGTTTTCTGCAATTTATTGATGCTCTGTGAACACTGACATCCTTAACTTCGTAGTTTAACATATCTTAAAGATGGGAAATAATTAAGTTCAAACTTTTGATTTGTGCTTTTAATAAGTTTAATATCTGAAGGGGGGGGGAGCTTGCTTGAAGCTCAGGTGCCGTCCCCACATTTCCCCTTATCACAGTAAGTGGGATATCTCTTTTAAAATGAATTCTGGCTTGTGGTCACCTTAGGTCACATTTATTTAACCCTGGCACTGTCTAGCGCTCGTGATGCCATGAAGCGAAGCAGAATAAAATCCCTTCTGCAAGTGGAGAGCTGCGTGTATGCGTACGCATACAGAGCTAGGCGCAGGGTGTTATAGAGGACGGCACCTGCAGTGTTCGCTTTTCCTTGGAGCGGCGCAGGAAGACCCGGGGCTTCCCTAGCGGCGCCCGCGCGCCCCCCGGCGTTTCCGCCCGCCGCTCCCGAGCCGCGCTGAGAAACGGGAGCGACTTCCCGCAGCCGGGATGTGCTGCCTCCCAGCAGGCGAGGAGCGGGAGAAACCCACCGACGTGGTTATCTGAGAAGGACAGAAATAATGAGCTGCTGAAATGGGGATGAGCCCTGGCGCTTCATCACTGTTTGTGACTGTTCAGAAGTGAAAGTCCTGCCGCAGCACGCCTGTATTTCAGTGGTAAGCAGCCATTGCAGCCACATTATCCAAAGCTCACCTACACAGCCTGAACATCCAGCAAGGCCATCCTGGAATTCTATATTTGGTATTACAGTGGCGCCGTGCTTTTGGAGCATGCTAAGAGTAAAGTGGATAATGTGTAAAACGCAAGAGCTAAACGTATGGGGCTGCTTGCACAAGCCTTGTCTCTGGCAGCTTTCCACTCTTTCTACCTGCTACCGCGGGAGGCACGTTGGCCACCACGGCAGCACCGGCGCCTCCCGCGCGCTGCGGACGGTGATGAGGAGGGCTCCTCCGGGCTCGCGTGCGGGAGGTGCCTTCACCGCCATCGGCACTGTCTTCTGTCTTTACTTGCTGTAAAGTTGTTAGAGACGATCAAGTGTGAAAAGAGCTCAGAAGTTATTCTAATGATGAGCAGAATTCCTCAGCAAAATTAGGGCTTGATCATGGAAAAGGGCCTTGGGAGCAAAATGGGAAATAAAAATATACATGTGTTGCAATTTAAATGGAGCAAGCAGTGGGTCTTGATATTGTGTTTCCTGTTCATCGAGACCATAGCTAGCTTTAGGGGGCTTTCCACACCTTTTCTGAGGAATTTGTTTGGGGTATGCACATGTTTGTGCATGTTTATGTGGCAGTTAATGGTACTGGTTCAATTGGTCCTTTATAAAAAGTGAACATGGGTAGGTCCCAAAAGGGTGTCCTTGCCACTGAAGTTGATTATTTATGTCTTAGCAGGAGTAATGGGGGAACCCACATTACGTGCATTTTCTTAAGTGCTGTGTTCCAAGTTTATTAGTATTACTAGATATTCCAAAGTTCTTATCTAGTTTGTTAACCAAATAAAATTCATACCCACAGAAGCAAAATATTATGATAAGTTAATACAATTTGTACTATGCAGTGTCGCTGCTGAAGATGTTGTTTCCCTAAGAATTCCTTTCCTTAAAAAAATAAAGGCCTATTTATAATTGCAGACCTTCCATTTGTCCCAGTAATACAGTCTCAAGATCTTCTCCTCCAAATTTTCTCCTCCTTTATGTATTTACTAAATATCTGAGGGTACATTTGATGGTGGATGAGTTTTGATCCTCTAACCTGTATGTTGCCACTGGTGCTGCATGTTTATTAGTATTTCCAAGTATGACTGGGCTGCTATCCACCACTTAGGAGCTTCTGGGGAGGAATTGTTGCCCCTCAGAATGAGGCCTCTGGTCTTGTTCTCGCTCTTTAAATCTACAGGACATTTTCTCACGATGAGAAGCCATATCTGAAGTGTTGCCCTAAATCTTGCCTATCCAAATAGGCAGTTAGAGCTTTAATTGTATTTTAATCTGTGCGTTCTCAAACTGTGCACTTGGTTCTGAACGACAGTTACATGAGCTCTATTGACTACTTTATATCTGAATTTTATAGGACTCTGTATTCTTTCAAAGAATATGAAAGAAATTCAAATTTAGTCAATCACTACATTTAAAAGATCTCCTAGAAGACAGATTTTTTAGTGAGTGACAGCTTCAAGTAAGAACTTACTTGTATTATGACTTCAGTAGCAATGGAACAGACTTCCCCATGACCCAGCCCCTTCCCCTGATTGCTGAAATTGGGCTCTTTCGAAGAAAAAAAAAAAAAAAGAGCCACAAAGCTGAAGCTTTGCAGCAAAAAGCTGCGTGTTGCAGGTAGCTGCTGTGCGCCTTGTTGTCCAATGCAGGACATGCACTGCAGACTCCCCTGATCACTCTCCTGAACTTCAGGACAAGCTTCTCCTTTTGGAGCTGTTCCGCACTCTTGTGCAAACTCCTCGCGGCTGCTGATGGGGGGAACGCTGGGGGTCCCGTGGAGCGGGGCGCGTGGGCCTGGGCCGCGTGGGCAGCGGCGCTGGGTGGAGAGCGCTGCGGCTCGTGGCTTTTCCTCCGACACCCTTTAAAGACGCAGCCCGCGGCGCCAGCTGCTGCTCGCCTCATCTCGCGGCCATCGGAAAACTTGCAGCTCCCGCAGCACGAAAATAGAAGTAAACTCAGAGCAAATTCTCCGCATTAGCACCCCCGCCCGCCCCCAGCTCCCGTGCAGAAACGAAACATTTATCCAGGCAAAAGCTTTTGATTTCACACTAACTTTACATGAACTCATATACAAGCACTTTCAGGAAGCAGAGGCTTGTAAGCAACATCTTGGGGTAGGAATTGTCCCTTTTAGCCTCAGCCAAAATGGAAAAAGATGTGTTTTTTTT